GTGGGGTCTGGGGTGAGCGGGAGCTGGGAGGATCTGGTACGGGGAGACTGGTGGAGGAGGAAGGGCTTGGGGGGGTGGGGGGAGGGGGAGGGTAGGTGGGTGGGTGAGAGGGGGAGGGTTGGGGGGTAAGAGGGGGAGGGTTGGGGGGGTGAGAGGGGGAGGGGTGAGAGGGGAGGTGAGAGGGGGAGGGTTGGGGGGATGGGGGAGAAGAGGGGTTTGGGGGGCAGTAGAGGGTGTGTGTGTGTGTGTATGCGTATATTCACCTATTTGTACTCAACTATTTGTGTCTGAAGCACTCTTAACTCTTGGATCCCGCCTTTCAAGCCATCGGTTGTTCACAGTAATGATTTCCCTATCATACATAGTTTTAAAATTATGAATATAATTTGCTTCCACAACCTGCTCCTTAAGTGCATTCCATTTTTCCACTACTCTCACGCTAAAAGAAAACTTCCTAACATCTCTGTGACTCATCTGAGTTTCCAGCTTCCATCCATGTCCCCTCGTTCTACGGTAACACACTGTAACGGTAACACACTGCAACGGTAACACACTGTAACAGTAACACACTGCAACGGTAACACACGGTAACACACTGCAACGGTAACACACTGTAACGGTAACACACTGTAACACACAACGGTAACACACGGTAACACACTGTAACGGTAACACACTGCAACGGTAACACACAGTAACACACTGCAACGGTAACACACTGCAACGGTAAAAAACTGCAACGGTAACACATCGTAACACACTGCAGTAGTGTGTTACGGTGTGTTACCGTAACACATCGCAGTGGGTTACAACAAGGCTTGTACAGAAGTTCTGCAGAAGGAAGCAACATTAGCTCACAGATTGAGAGCGAAGCTCCTGATCATGGGAGACCAAAATCATGGAGAGGTAAATTGGAAACCAAGGAATCCCCATGGCAGGGAAGAAACGTGGGGAGCAAAGATAGTAGATGTTATAGACAGGAATTTCCTAACACAATGTGAAGGAAGACACAATAGAAAGAGGAATGAATACACCGTGCCTATTAGATCTGATTTTCACCCACAACGTAGAAGACATCGAGAATTTGGGGCTTGAAGTACCTCTAGGGGCCAGTGACCATTGTGTCCTAGTCTTTGACTACATGATTGAACTCAAACTTGTGACCATGGGACAAGAGTTCTTGGAAAGGAGAGTTGACTACAGGAAAGGGGACTACAGGTGGATAAGGGACTATCGGGGAGAAGTGCAGTGGGAGGAAGAAATTAGAGGAAAAACAGTCCAAGATATGAAGTACCTAGTTACACGGAAATGCCAGGAGGACGAAAAGAGATTTATACCAACAGTAAAGGTAAAAAGTAAGAGGGAATATAATAACCCATGGTCTAATAGACAGTGTCAGGAAGCAAAAATGAGAAGCAGGAGGGAGTGGAGGAAGTACAGAAGACAAAGGACAGAGGACAACAGGATCAGATGCAACCAAGCTCGGAACTGTTACATTAACATAAGGAGAACATCGGAAAGGAATTATGAGAAAGATATTGCGATTAAAGCGAAAAAAAGCAACCTAAATTACTACACAGCCATATAAGAAGCAAAATGTCGGTGAACGACTAAGTGACATGACTAAGAAAAACAGAGGGGACATACAGAAAGTGACAAGGAAATCTACGAAGTTTTGAATGCCAGTTTCCATGGAGTGTTCACAACCGAGCCTGAGCGGCTTCCATTGTTAGAAGAGATTTCCTTAGATGAAAGACTATCAGATATAGTGATGACAGCAGAGGAGGTAATGAAACAGTTGTCAACACTGGACGCAACTAAAGGTGTTGGACCAGACAAAGTATCACCGTGGATTCTAAAAGAGGCATCGCAGGCTCTCAGCGTGCCTCTGGCAAGGATCTTTAATGAATCACTTATGTTGGAATAATTGCTCAATTGCTGGAAGAGGGCAAATGTTGAACCAATTTTAAAGAAAGGTGATAGGGATGAGGCACTTAACCATAGACCTGTATCACTGACAAGCATCCCCTGTAAAATACTTGAAAGAATAATTAGGCTACGACTGGTTGCACACCTAGAGAACATTAGGTTTGTGAACAAACATCAACATGGGTTCTAGAAAGGGAAATCTTGCCTAACAAACCTTTTGGAATTCTAAGATAAAATAACGAGGATAGCGCAGGACAGAGCAGGTTGTGCAGACTGCGTATTTCTGGACTGCCAAAAAGAGTTTGATACAGTACCACACATGAGACAGCTATTCAAACTTGAGAGGCAGGCGGGAGTGAGCGGAAAGGCCCTAGCATCGGTACGGAACTACCTAACAGGAAGGAGCCAGAGAGTTACGGTAAGGTGCGAGAAGTCGGACTGGCGAACAGTGACAAGTGGAGTACCTCAGGGATCGGTGCTGGGACCAATATTTTTTCTAATATACGTTAACGACATATTTACAGGAGTAGAATCCTAAATGTCGATGATCGCAGATGACGCAAAGTTGATGAGTAGAGTTGTGACAGATAAGGATTGTAGGATACTCCAAGAAGACGTAAACAGGTGGCAGGGATGGTCAGAGAAATGGCTACTGGGGCTCATCACGAGCAAATGTATAGTTATGGAAATGGGACTAGGTGATAGGAGACCAAAGGAACAGTACACAATGAAGGGGAACTTCATTCAGAAACCTAAGTGAGAAGGCTTTTAGGGCGCTTTACACTGCCTACGTGAGACCAGTCTTAGAGTATGCCGCCCCATCATGGAGTCCCCCCACCTGAAGAAACATAAGAAAACTGGAAAAGGTTCAGAAGTTTGCAACGAGACTCGTTCCAGCGTTATGAGGGATGGAGTATGAAGAGCGCCTGGAGGAACTAAGTCTTACGACACTAGAAAAAAGAAGGGGGAGGGGGATATGATAGGAACGTATAAAATACTCAGGGGAATTGACAGAGTGGACAGACAGAATGTTCACACGGAATAGCAACACAACGAGGGGACATGGGTGGAAGCTGGAAACTCGTATGAGCCAGAGAGATGTTAGGAAGTTTTATTTCAGTGTGAGAGTAGTGGAAAAATGGAATGCACTTATGGAGCAGGTTGTGGAAGCAAATTCTATTCATAATTTTAAAACTAGGTATGATAGGGAAATAGGACCGGAGTCAGTGCTGCAAACAACCGATGGCTCGAAAGGAGGGATCCAGTAGTCAATGCTCGATCCTGCAAAGACAATTAGGTGAGTACAAATAGATGAGTACACTGCAACGTTAAAACACTGTAATAAACTACAACAGTAACACACGGTAACACACTACAACGGTAACACACAGCAACGGTAACACACTACAACTGTTGCACACGGTAACACACTGCAATGGTAATACACTTCAACGGTAACACACTGCAACGGTAACACACTGCAACGGTAACACACGGTAACACACAACGACGGTAATACACTTAGAGTAAAAATGACTAACAATTCAAAGACATTACGAGCAGATCATCAAGTTTGGTTAAGACTAGAAACCAAGCTAACGTCGATTGAAATACGGGTAAAAGGGATCGCTGCGTGCATGCTGACCAAGATATTGACTAGACCTAGAATCAGTTCACTTAAAGATATAATCACTGGAGCACTAACTCTGGACAGAAGAGCCTCCAATAGCAACAGGTGGACCCATTGTGCGATAAACACCATCAATACATTCGATATAACAAACACAATCAGTGAAATAGGTGTCGACAAAATACATGCAGACTTTGTTATGCAAGCCCCTTGGGAATCTCTGCCAGCAGACTTTAAGATTATGGTTATTGAAGGAAAAATGAATCAGACAAATCCTCATCTGCTACGTAACATTGCACAGATGCATATAGAAGCAAACATGGCATCCGACAGCTTCACATACTTCACAGATGGATCAGTAGACCAGCAGGGACAAGAAACCGGAGCTGCAGTTAAAGCAGGAAACTCGGTAAATAGTTGGAGGCTCTCAAATGGGTGTTCGACTTTACAAACAGAGATGCTAGACATTCAAAAGGCTTTGGAACATGCTCTTGCTCAACACCGAAAACATGTTATCATACATACAGATTCGAGAACCGCCATTGAAACCTTGCAACATGAACACATTTGTGATAACTTACATCTGATCACAAATGTCATATCATTAATGCAAACACTCAAACGACAAGGCCGACGGGTACTTTTCAACTGGGTGCCAAGTCATGTGGGAATAATAGGAAATGACATTGCAGACGAAGCTGCAAAACTTGCAACTAAGAGAAGAAATGTAGACATTTACATACCACAAAGTCTATCACAGATTAAGAAAGTAATTAGAAACAGAGCAATGCAACAGATGTACAGTGACCACAACACAGCAGTTGCAACATCAGGATCTGCGGGTTGGTACAAGAATTCAACCAACTACGAACCACTTAGTTTGATGAAAGGGAGCAGTAGAGCAACAGAAGTGCACTTACATCGCATCAGGCTTGGACACCCATGTGCATGGGAAATAGGCTTACAGGTTCCGGAAGATGAAAGGAAATGTCAACACTGTGGAGAAATGCCCGACAGACCACTGGAACATTATCTAACATAGTGCACAGTTACAAACCCATTAAGATTTCAACTTAGATTCAACAAAGCAGAAGAAGTTGTTAAACACATATGGCAAAATCTTACTGAAGCGACCATACGAGTCATAAGTACTCATACTCCGCCCAAGTAAAACAGAAACAAGCAACACTTAGTGGGCCAGCCAAAGGTTTAGGGCCCGCGCAGGAATATCCCTGAAAAAAAATCAAGTTTGGTAACTTGACAGACTAGAAGCAAATAAACTATGTCTTCCACTGTGGATTCGGTCTCTCATCAAGGGCCCCGTGCGGATTTGTTCACTTCTATTACTTTTATCAATATACTAGCCGTAATAATATTAAGCTGAGTAGCAGAAGCAACGTCAGCTTTACAACAGAGGACAACCTTACACCTTTCAGTAGATATGGACGCCTACTTAAAAGAAGAAGAAAATAAACAGACAGAACTGGGAATGAAAGACAAGATCTTCGGGAATACCTTTACAGACCTAAGTGTTGGTGAGTAGAAGGGTTGGAGAAGATATCAAATGATGCTCTACATAAAATATTAGCATAAACAGTCTATGTACTGAAAACATAGTTCTCAATCATATTATACATAGTCTCTATTATATTCTCTATGATTTTGTACTCACCAGCACACCGTAATCCACTACCAAGTAACTATTCTCCCTCTCCCTCCGTGTCTCACATTCCTTCAACCACCACCTAGTTTCACAGGTTGTCTTGCCTCCTGCAGCAGGTGACTGCTACAGACGGCGACGCGGGAGAGTATGGACTCCTGCGGTATAGCCTCTCTGGTGATGGCGTCTCCAGCGACGAATCAAGGTCCGCTTTCGCCATTGACCCTCTGACGGGGGCCATCCGCTTGCTGAGGGTGAGTTTGTGTTCAGACTTGTGTTTTGAGAGGGTGAATGAAGAACAGAAGAGAGGGGAATTAATATTAACGAAAACAGAGAGAGAAAGGCAGAGGGAGGGATTGACTGGAAGGAAGTGAAATGCTAATGATGACATTTACTTAAATGTAATGGGTAGAGAGAATTGGTGGAGGGAAGGAAAGAAAGAGAGAGTGATGAATGGGAAAACGAAGTTAGAGTTGCACAGATAACGAGAAAAAAAGACAGACAACGAAAAAAGGCTAAAAATAACGACTGTTTGGAGTTAACAATCAGAAACTATGACAAATAATTCAAGTTTTGTTCAAAATGCCGGCAAATGGGGCAGCCTGAGGCGTAGGGACCGCGGAGGAAACATTCTAAAAATTAATCATCTTTCAAAAGAGACCTCGACCCCTTAGTTAATGTGAAATTTCCATTCATTATATTTATCGGACGCAAACACAAGGACCCGTAATGTAGTTACCAGTTACCTCATTACAAGGGCCTAAAAGCTAGTTACTACCAGACTCCAACAAAAGTGACAGTCGCCAGCTAGCGAAGAGAGAGAGAGAGAGAGAGAGAGAAACGTGCATGAGACATAGAGATTAGAAATGTCAAATCTTGTTATGAACTGGAATTGATATTGTCATATATTTTAAATTATATTGCGTATATCTATTTATTTTTAGTATATATATATATATATATATATATATATATATATATATATATATATATATATATATATATATATATATATATATATATATATATATATATATATATATATATATATATATATATATATATATATATATATATATATATATATATATATATTCGCCAAAACAGCTTGGGTTTGGCATTACTCAAGGGTGTGAGGCAGCCGCTCATGCAGCTAGAGCCTACATTGCCAACATTACGGATGAAAAAGCCCTGATAAAGCTGGACTTCAAAAATGCTTTCAATCTGGTTAGAAGGGATGCAGTACTCAGTGCAGTTCATCTCCTTTTTCCTTCCCTCTACCCGTTTGTAAACTCATGCTACAGCAAGAATCTAACTCTGCTTTTTGGGGAACATGAAATTGAATCACAAGAAGGTGTCCAACAGGGTGACCCCCTTGCTCCTTTTCTGTTCTGCCTAGTCATCAAAGAAGTCACCGATAACCTGTCCAATGAGCTCAACATTTGGTTTTTGGACGATGGTACTCCAGCCAGCTCCCCAGCCTCACTCTTGGACGACATAAGAATAATTCAGGAGCAAGCCTAGGCCTCACCCTGAACCCTTCCAAGTGCGAAATAACCTCCACCAACTAGCACATAATAGAGCAAATAAAAGTTGTTTTGCCTGACATTCATACAACCAACCCTGAGGACAGCACACTCTTAGGTGTTCCTCTTGGAAAGAACGCCATCGACGATTTCCTTGGTAAGAAGATCACTGACCTGAAGAGGATGAACGAGAGGATTGAAGACATCGATGCTCATGATGCACTTTACCTCATCACCAGATGCTTGTCCCTCCCCAGGCTGACCTACTTTCTAAGATGTTCGCCATCTTTCAACAATATTAAATTAGAAGAGTACGACAGCTTGCTGAAGTCAACACTAGAAAAAGCCCTCAATCTTTCCCTCAGCGACTCACAGTGGAAACAGGCCTCCCTTCCTGTCAGACTCGGGGGCCTTGGCGTGCGCACAGTAACACAAATTGTTGTACCAGCGTTCCTGTCCTCTTCAGTGGGGTCTGACAACTTGATGAAGGAAATCCTACCTGAGCACCTAGTTCAACAGGCAGGGGTACATGATCCCAGCTTCACAGACTGCACAACCAAATGGGTCTCTCTCGCAGGACAAGCATCCCAACCACCGCCTTCTGAGGCCCATAAGCAATCCAGCTTGGTCAGCAATCCCCATTGCCGACCAAGAAGCTGCGACTTTGTTAGAAGCTGCGATAACACCACATGACACTGCCAGACATAGAGCTGTAGCAGCTCCCCATGCAGGTGATTTCCTATTAGCAATCCCAATGTCAGCAACCGGCACCCATCTCACACCGCAGGCCCTCCGACTTGCCGTGGCTCTCAGCCTCGCTGTCCCAATCCACACCGAATACAGGTGTATTTGCGGCGAGGCAGAGGCCGACAGGTACGGACGGCATGGCCTTCTCTGCCAAAGGACAGGAGGATGGCATGCAAGACACGGCGAGGTCAATGACATTATTAAGAGAAGACTTACCACAGCCAGTTGTCCAGCAGAGAGAGAGCTCCGTTACCTAATGTCCCACAACTCTGATGAACCTGTCGGTCGCCCAGACGGAATCACGGTGAACCCCTGGAAGAATGGTAGACAGTTGGTGTGGGACTACACTTGCGTTTCAACTTTGGCCAATACCTATGTTGACTTCAGTGCTACACAAGCAGGAGGAGCTGCCAATCACGGGGAAGGGGCCAAGTCACGTAAATACAGAGACCTTGAGCACCACTACAATATTTGTCCCCATTGACTCGGAGACACTTGGTGCCTGGGGTAAAAGGGCTGCTAGTTTTTGATGGAGTTGGGGGTCAAAGCTAATCGAAACAACTAGAGACTCTAGAGCTGCCAGTTTTCTTTTTCAGCGCCTTAGTGTGGCAATCCAGAGAGGAAATGCTCACTGCATCCATGGTTCCTGCCCACCATCTGAGGAGCTGGAGGAGCTATTCAGCTAGTGACAAGCAGCCTTGTATCCTGCATGTAATTAATATTGTAACTTTTTTTGTGTAATGACATTTTCAAATAAAGTTAGATAAATATACACACATACCAAAAGAATAGGGGTGGTAAGGGAAGAAAATATCAAAGTGTTCAGTGAGGATCCACAAGGTCTTCTCTAAGTACTCTTTATTTTCTTCACCGAGGCTACGGGTCCCTACACTTGCACCAGAGGTGGTACCCCTTCTATTATATATATATATATATATATATATATATATATATATATATATATATATATATATATATATATATATATATATATATATATATATATAATTATATATAATTATATATATATATATATATATATATATATATATATATATATATATATAATTATATATAATTATATATATATATATATAATTATATATATATATATATATATATATATATATATATATATATATATATATATATACATATATATATGGTTTCGTCGAAGACATCATAAGAAGGAAAGTGAAAAGCCATGCAACGTCTGAAGAGACAACTAACACAACACCTATACCCCCTATTAGACAATTTTACAGGAACTTCTTTTCCACAGCTCATAAAACGGAGGAAAGGGTCCTGAAAGATATTGTTAATAGAAACGTTATCCCTACAGACAAAAATCAGAGGATACAACTGACGATTTACTATAAAACCAGAAAAACGGCCAGCCTACTCATAAGAAACTCTCCAGACACAAAACAGAACGCTTTAAAAGAGACTAACGTCGTCTATGCCTTCAAATGCCCACTTGGGGACTGTAAGCTCCAAAAAACCCAGTATATAGGCAAGACAACAACATCTCTTTCTAGGCGTTTAACGATGCATAAGCAACAGGGCTCCATTAAGGAACATATAATCTCTTCCCACAACCAAACCATCGCCAGAGAAATCCTAGTAAACAACACAGAAATCATCGATAGATACAGCGATAGCAGGCGGCTTGACGTTTGCGAGGCACTACACATCAAGAAGTCAACACCAGCAATCAACAGCCAATTATTGCACAACTATATTCTACCCACCTCAAGACTCCGCTCCAATATAGAAGCATCAAGAAATATGGACCAATAGGCTTTCTACAAACACTTCTATTCAATATCCATTGTTTCGCGTTCTGTCTTGTGTTGATGAAATTAATACCCTATTAATACCACATTTTGTTCTGTCTTGTGTTAATGCCACATCACCCCTTCCACCTCACTCAAATGTAGATATAAAATCGGAGATACGTAAGTTCTATTCAGTTGTGTATTTGTGAACTAAAGTCTTTGAAAATGTAATAAGTTTTACGAAACGCGCCCGTGTCGCGTCAGACTAGAAATAAAAATGAATTTTGGAGAATTGATTTTTTATTTACCTCCAACAGTGAAGCGAAATGTACGAAAGATTGAGAAAATTCGTGTTAGAATTATTAATCTTACTTTTTCGGTCATATTTAATAATATATGTCTACAGGAAAGACTGCTACCAAAATATACTAACATATATATATATATATATATATATATATATATATATATATATATATATATATATATATATATATATATATATATATATATATATATATGTATATATATAAATATTAGTGGTATTATTTATTTAGTCTTATTTATTATTATATTATATACTTATTATTTAAATATTAGGTATTATTTTAATACAAATGGAAATAACAATAAATAAACATATAAAAGAAAAAAGATCATTAACAATTGTTTGAAGAATTAAAAGAGGAGAAAGAAGACCAATAATAATATTATTTATTTAATTATTAATATTTAATAACATTAATATTATTATGAAAGCCTCCCAACAGAAGAAATTGCAGGCTTTCTTGTGTATTTTAAAATTAAAATACAATTAATTGTGTATTTCCAATTAAAACATAAATTGACATTGATAAAAACTAATTTATGTTTTAATTAGAAATACACAATTAATTGTATTTTAATTTTAAAATACACAAGAAAGCCTCCAATTTCTTCTGTTGGGAGGCTTCTATAATAATAATAATGTTAATAAATATTATTAATTAAATAAATAATTTTATTATTGGTCTTTTTTATCTTCTTTTAATTCTTCATATAATAGTTAATGATTTTTTTTCTCTTATATGTTTATTTATTGTTATTTCCATTTGTATTAAAATTTTTAACAACATTCATATTATTACTCAAAAAAATCACAATAACCTGATATGTCAAATGAATTAATCCACAAGGGCCGTGGTGGGTTCGAACCCATCACGG